AAGTGAACAAAATTAAAGGTGACTATTTCTCTCCTTTTGCCTCCAGTGTCTCTCCCCAAAGGCAACTACTGTTAATATATTTTTGTCTCGCCCCCTCCACCCCCCAAATTATTTAGGCATATACTAAGAAATCAATCAGTCTCTCTCTCTCTATCTATCTATCTATCCAAATTTCTATCCTTATTCACACACAAAGAATCATTCCATACACGTTCTTCTGCTCCTTGATTCTTACAGATAATTTCCATGGTAGCCCAGATGATCCTTTCTTGGTATTTCAAAATGACAAGAAGTATAGTGTAATGGCTAAGAGCATAAACCCTGAAGCCAAAGGCCGGGAGAGCAGGAGGGAAAAAAGGAAGGAGAGGGGTGAGGTGGAGAAGAGAGACAGAGCGAACAAGAGCATGAGAGAAAAGAAGAAGAAGAAGGAGGAGGAGGAAGAGGGGAAGGAGGACAAGGAGGAGGAGGAGGAAGAAGAGGAGGAGGAGAAAGAGAAGGAGGAGGGGAAAGAGGAGGAGGAGGAAGAAGTGGAGGAGGAGAGGGAAGAGGAGGAGGATGACGACGATGATGGAGTCATGGAGCATAGAATGTACATGTACATTCTAGAGGGTTCTATTCCAGAAAAGCTTTTATTCAGGTGAGGCTTTCTACCTCATAGAAGCAGGCTTTATGCTAGATAGGTCCGCATGCCAGGCCTGATATCCCCACCCTGGCCAAAATAGGTAAGGAGAGAAGGATCTGGGGAGAAGAGCAGGTGTGGCTCAGTAGATAGCCTCAGGGCTGTAGAAATATTGTAGTTCTTAATTTTACTTAAATCAGTTTAATTTCTACTATAATCCCATCATGCTGGGTTGATAGGAAATCAAAACCTTTAGAAGCTACCACCTCTCCTAGGGTGATGCAAAGGTCCTGTGGTTGTACAAGTGACAAGACTTGTACATCTGGGATGACGCACATGCACACACAAACACACATACACTCACACACCTTTAAGTCTTCAGGTGAACTCTCTGCACTTGCTACAGTTGAGAAGTCCCTCCTCACAACCCCCAGACTCCCATTTCCCCCCAGGGGTGCTTGGCACACAGCACTCCTCTCTAGAATGGGAGCCCCTGTGGCCGGTAGATGCTTCCCTACGGCACCTCACAGTCCTCTCCTGAGGTTTGTTGGGCTCCTTCTCCAGAATGGAGGTCTCCTCCATTCTCAGAAACCACAACATATAGCCCCTTCTGGGTTTCCCTGGCTCTCTCTACTCCAGGTCACTGCCTTAAGGCACACCCCCTTTACCTGTGGCCCCAGTGGCACTCCTCATAATCCACTTCAGCTCTCCCGCTGCCGGCTTTCTCTGAGGGCAAGAAGCCCAGAGTCTGATTATCAGCTGGGAACAGGAAAAGGAAAAGGGAAAAGACACACGAGGAGAGGGAGGGTATCAATTAGTACCTCGAAAATGATCTTGTCACATTAAGAAGGAACTAGAACGGTTTTTCTGAGACACCTATCCCTATTCAGGGATGTTGTAATAAATATACTATTTTTATTTTTCAGGTATGAAAATCAGCCCATCACCCTTGGATTTCCCTGGTTTCACCATCAAGCAGTCACGATATCTACTATGGAGGAGCTAGGGTTCCCTTCAGACAGGACTGCCAATACAGGACCGAGCAGCTCTGAGTGTCAATATGGCGAAAGGGTTGGGGTGTATGATGCTCAGGCTTGGTCAGAAGAGGAAGTGAAGCTTCGTAGACGTTGGTCCAGGTTTAATTCTGGGCATCCATGTCCCATGACTCATACAGGATGACACTAAGAAAGTTCTAGACTAACTTCCACCAAACCTCCTCCTCTCTCATACCATAGAGCAGTCAGGGACTTCTTGTGCAGTCCAAGCCAGAAGAGAAATTCAGTCTGTCCTGAGGAGGACTTTATACTTCCCTGTGGTCTGGCGTGGACTCTTGCGTGGGCCATTTCTGGAATCATCTAGAATTCAACACTTTCAGACTGTCCCTGGACCCTCTCTACCGAAAGCCCATTGAGGGCAGGCCTGGGTCTTGCCTGACATTGTATTCCCCCATGCCTTTACAGCACTTGGCACACAGCAAGTGTGTACACAGTCTTAGCCAAATGAGGGAAAACGTGAAG